GCTATGGCACTGACAGCCCCTGGACCGCCATCCCGAATTGCATGAAGATCCGTGGGCACAGCTGTGACCTCACCTACTACACCCTGGATCCCTCCCTGCGCTACTATGCCCGGGTGCGAGCTGTGCTTGGGAACCACACATCTGACTGGAAAAGGACCAATGCCTTCTCCCCGCAGGAAGGTAGGTCAGCACCCACTCCCATCCTCAGCTGTTCCAAAGCTCTTGGAGCTGCAGGAGGACCCTCCATAATACTCCTGAACCTCCCCTCCCTGCAGCCAGCCTGCGCCTGTCTGGCCACAGCCTGGCCGTGATGGACAACAGCATCCATGTGAAGCTGCAGCTGCTGCTCCGGGCAGGGAACCGCACTGTGAAATATGAGGACATCCAGAAGCACGCGAGGCGGTACCGGGTGTACATCCGGAGGGCGCAGGACAACCAGACGGTGAGTATCAGTCTTCCATCTGAGTTGACAGAGCCAGAACATTGCAGATATTTCTCTGTACTGCTTACTGTAGCAGGTCCTCCATCTCCCTCCCTCCAGAGGGATTTGGGGTCTGGCTGCTGCCAACAGCTCTGATAAGCACTAGGGGGTTTTCTCCATGGAATGGAGGAGGAGAAGGGAGCAGACCTTGGGGCCCAGCTCTCGAGTACCAGCTGTGCTCTCTCATTGCAGTACGAAGTGTGGGAGACCGCCTCAGAGTTCCACATCCACAACCTCTTCTGGAACACTGAATACTGCATCAGTGTGGAGCCTGACGTGGCCAGCCGGCACATCCCTGCCACACGCACCACTGAGCAGTGCGTCACCATTGGCCACAGAGACAGTAAGGATGGAGTGGGGCTGGAGGGGCACTGTGGGACCCTGGGGGGAGCTGTGCCTGTTGTGGGGCTTCCAAGCAATGTGTGCCATGGGACCTGCACTTCAAACTCACCTGGGCACGTCCTCTCTTGCAGGAAGTGCAGAACTCATCCCGATCGCTGTCAGCTCCTTTGCCATTGTCCTCTTCCTTCTGGGCATCCTGGGGGCTCTGCTGGTCTGCATGTACCTAAAGAAACCCATGAGGCCACCATCTGTCCTGGTAAGGCAGCGGGCACACAGTGCCCTTTGTGGCTGCTGCAAGGGATGGGAGAGGCAAGCCACGAGCAGGGATGAAGCAGGGCTCATTCCCCTCTTTTCTGTCCCTCCCAGAAGTCCTTCATAAAGCAGAGCTCGCTGTGGATGGAACAGGAGACCTCATCCTCAGGGAGCACAGATGCAGTGCAGCAGCTGTTCCTGTGCCAGAAGGAGCCCCAGCACCACGGTGCCCTCAGCACCACAGGCACAGCCCAGCCACCAGCAGAGAAGAGCAGTCTGCTGCCAGTATGGCCCAAGGAGCAGGCAGCAGGGAGCATGGACAGCAGCTGCACCAGCACAGACAGTGGCATCTGCCTGCATTCTTCCTCCTCATCCTCATCTTCATCTTCCTCCTCCGAGCTGAGCCACTCTGAGAACCGTTGCTACAAGCAGCAGCTGCCTGTTGGCGATGACAGTGGTGTGGGCTTGGAGGGCCCTGCTGGAAACCTCATGGAAGCTACGCATGGAGCAGAGCCTGACTTCTGCCCCACCACCGGGCAGGATTGCCCACAAGAGGTGGAGTTCCGTGGGTACCTGCAGCAATCCAAGGGCATGGTGGAGCTGAGGCAGGGGCAAGCTGATGGGGGCACATTCTGGGCCTGTGCAGGAGCCCCTTGGGGCCCAGCTGGCACTGACACTGTGCTGGATATGGGCTGCACGGAACTGCCGGTGTCCAAAGGGTACCTGAAGCAGTCCTCTCCTGAGTGTCCGCGCAGCCACACTCCAGCCCTTGCTGCCCCAGGGTCCCCTATGCTGACCTGTAGGGCTCCCCTGGCCTCCAAGGCCAGCCCTGAGCTTCTGAAGATCCCCCTTGACCTGGGCAACTTCGACACTGACCTGATGGGGATGCTACCCCTCATCGCCAGCCTCAGCTCCGACGAGTGGCTCACAGTGCAAACCAACCCGCTGAGCATGCTCAGCAGGGATAGCAAGGACAGCCGCCTGTGAGCCCCCTGTGACCCTGACACCACTACCTCTCACCACTGCCCCTCTGGAGCAGACAATGGATAAGCTACCACCGACCCCTGAATGTCAGCGCATCGACCTGAGCACAGCCTTGGCAGACTCACCCCAGAGCCACTGCCATCGCTACAGCTGGGGCAGCTTCCCACCAAGCCCAGCACAGCCAGCACCCTGCTGACACTAATGGGACGTGGGGATGGGCTGTGCTGGACCACCAAGACCAAGGACGTGCACCAGCTCCATGGCACAGAGCACAGCCCTGGCTTTGGGCTCCCTTCTCCAAGTTTCCATTCCCCACTTCCCCTTCCTGCAGGCACCCAAACCTTTCACAACACCGATACCAAAAGTGCAGCACAGCACCACGTCAGCTTTCTCCGTGCTGCTGCAGGAACCTCCCGCCCTGCTGGCTGCCCTCTGAAAGAGCCAGGGACTCCTTCAGCCCTATGGAGCCTGCAGCCCCACACCAGGGAGCCCAGCAGTGCCCGCCACGCTCTCAGCCCGATGGTCGACATTTTGCCATTTTATGTACGGATACTATTTATTCTATTTAATTTGTAAATACAGAAGGGGATGAAGCATTATTTCTTTGCTCCACTCATCATTTCTCCTCTTCTAAGGCCTGGTTGTGCTTTCTGTTCTCAAATATGGGCATTCCCCCACAGCAGACAACAACAGCGTGCCTTCCCTGGGGCTCAGATGCGCTCTGCGCACTGCAGGGGAACCGCTGCAGCCCCACGGGTGCCCCAATCCCCCCTCCTTCTTCTTCCATATTCTTTTTCCTTGAAGTTGGGGGTTTTTGCTTTCTTTCTTTCTTTCTTTCTTTTTCCCCTCTCTCTCTTTTTTTTTTTTTTTTGGTTCGACTTCCTCTGAAAAACGAAGTCGTCAGAAAGAAGCGTGAGGTTTCTGTGCTCCTGACGTCAAGCTCTGTGGCCGTCCCCGGGGCTGTGCCGGGCGCTGCCGGTTCCCACTTACCGTGGGAGGCTCCAGCAGGCTGCAGCTGTGCCTGAGGGACACCACGTTCCACCCCCCCTCCTCGGCAGGCTCTCCTTTCAGTGAAACAGATGCCTTTGCCAGAAAACCACACGCTTTGGCTTTGAAAGCGGAGAGCACGGACAGACCCTTTGGCTTTGGGAAACTACAGGCTCTCACATTTTCCTCGTTGAAGTCACAGCTCAACGTGCTGAGATGTTTCTCTTCCATTCCTTCCGCAAAAATCTCTTTCCTCCCCCTCCACGCTGTGTGTAGCATCGCATCTCAGCCCCTTGCTCTGGGGGGGCTGCTCCTGTAAATACCTTTTTCCTCCCCAGCACCGATGCCTGAATGCATTTCCAATGATGCTCCAACATTTCCAAAGCGTTTCCAACAAATCCCCCACCCACAGAGCCCCATACCCGGCGATGTGAGGCAACCTAAGGGGATGGAGGCAGCAGGGGGCAGCCCAGAGAGGGGCAGAGCCGTGCAGGGCACAGAGCTGTCCCAAACAGTTCAGCCCCATGGGGACCTGTCCTGCTGTGCCCAACAGCCCAGCACTGGGCTGCTGAGACCCTTACCAGAAAGCCTCAAGGAAACCCAGTGGGGATTTTCTGAACTGTTCTCTTGCACACTCAGTACAGATTGGAGAAATTTCCACATTGGTGCAGTTCCTTGACTAAGGGAAGTCTGAAGTGCTCTCATTTCCTTACAGCGTTTTCCCCTCTTGCACAGTCAGCCATCCATTTCTGTGGCTCCTTGCCACACTTTTGGGCTGATTCCTCACGTTCCTGCCCCAAGGTCTGCTGGGCAAACCGGGGTCCCAAGCACTGGGATGTCAGATCAGAGGGGAACACAGGGTTGCTTTGCTCTGCAGGGTGAGTGCTTGGGATGAAGCAGTGCCCTTCTTCCTGCACTTCAAGAGAAGGAGGCTGAGCCCATGCCCAGCAGCGGCCCTCATCCAGCCCTGCCCAAGGCCAAAAGGGGCAGAGAAGGAAACACAGCAGAAAGAGAATGGAGAAGCTCAATTGAAAACAAAAAACAAAACCCAGAAACAGCACTGCTCCAAATTTGGTAGAAACCCCACGTATCTGGGAGTTGTTCTTTAGAGAACCTAGAATAGAGGAATTTCCCCATGGCCAGTTTTGCTGTTCTCTCTGTGGTTACTGGTGGGGGGAAAGAGGCAGCAGGAAGAAGCTGCGAGTGGCATGTGGTCACAGGAAGCATGTATATTCCAGCCCCTCCTTCCTCACTGCTTTCAGAGGAAAATCCAGGGGACTATCCCAGGTAAAGCCACAGCCAGAGCTACAAGAGGGGAAGGAGGCTCTGGCGTGCAGAAAGCTTTGGGGTGCAGCACGTTCACCACCACGGGAAGGCCAGTGCATGCTGCTCCAGGCTCTGCAGGACCTCCATGAAGCTGGGGTCCCACGCACAAGGAGCAGGACCATGCCCTGCTGCTCACAGCCCCTGCTCCTGGAAGCGCACGTAGCCATTCCCTGCCTGGCTCACAGAGGCACTGATGCTGAACGGAGGTGCCAGCTCCACTGCCACCGACCTCAGCCTGCTGCAGGGAAGGCAGGGGTGTCAGGGGGCTGTTGGACCCCTGGGCATCTGCGAGGGACCCTCACACTGCCCAGGGGTTAGGGGCTGGCAAGGGTCTGCAGCACAGTGCAGAGGGCACCCGTGTGACTCACTCACCAGCCATAGTGGAGGTTGAAGATGAAGTCAGGTCCTGGGAGGAGGAGGAGGGAAGGAGAGGTTGTCAGAGGGCCCTGCAGTGCCTGTAGAGCTCTGTGAGGTGGCACAGGGAAGGGACAGGACAACCCCCTGGATGACCAGAGCACTGGGACGTCTCTGTGCATTCCCCCTGCACACCCTCTGGCCACCCTGCATGCAGATTTTGGGGACCAGCAAATGCCATTATTGCTCCCCACACCCTTCCTTTGTCCCCTCCCCGCCCTGCAGCTGCTCGTCCCCTGCTCTGCCCATACTCACTGCACCAGCACCAGCCCTGGTGGTAGCAAAGGAAAACGGTGTAGCCAGAGATGATCAGGATCAGCAAGGCCAGCCCGATGCCCAAGATGAACCCAAACATACCGATGAGCCCTTGCCCTACAAAGGGAAAAGGGGCTCTGCAGACAAATGCCTCTGGGAGACTTGTGATTATGAGCATCACCTGGAGGAAACCTGGGGCTGCGTGCCCCCATGCTGTGCCATCCCTCTGCTCCACCACGCCCAGCCTTGGGAGTGAGGGTGGCTTGCAGCAGCCCATGCACGGGCACACAGTTCCCTCTAGAGGATGCAGGCGTCAGGGCAAGAGCCCTGCAGACCGACGCAGAGCCATGCAGAGCCCTGTAAAGAAGTGCAGAGCAGTGTAGAGCCGTGCAGAGCCATGCAGAACTGTGCAGAATGGACCCTTCTTGAGTTTAAAATTACCCCTTGTCCTCTCACTACACCCCCTGACAGATTCTCTCCCTATCCTTGCTGCAGATGCTGAAAAGCCTCAATAGGTCAGGGTGCTCCGTGACCTGTGTGCCCTGACCCTCGGGCCCTCGGAGCAGGCAGGCACAGCGCAGGGGCTCAGGCCAGGTACCGGCACACAGACAGGCACTGCGCCTTGCAGCATCGAGAATGAGCCAGCAGAAAGGGATGACCTAACAGCAGCTAAATTTAGACAGATGCCGGTGGGGTGAGAACACTTCCCCTGTGGTCACTGTGTTTACACAGTGTGTAACATCCCAGATCATCCCACAACCTGCAGCACTCGCCCTACCTGATGGCGCACGACAAACGGCCGGGGAGCAGCAGAGCATCGCACCGTCAGCTCTGGGATGGTAGCGTGGACAGACAGGATCAGCCTGGGCTCCCAGCAGTGCTGGGGCGCGTGGGTATCGTGCTCCTTCTACTGGGCCAGAGGTGAGCTGGGAGCCTCAGGACCCCGCAGGATGAGGGCAGGCAGCGTGCTGCCTGGTGAGTCACTGGGAGCTGAGCGTGGTGCAATCGCTTCCCTGAAGCAGCTGGCTGCCGAAACTGCCCTGTCCCCGTGCCTGCTGCTGCAAGGTGTGCTCGCTGCCACGTTGCATTCCCAGCCTCTGCCCTCTGCCTATGGAAGGTGCTCCCTGCACAGCAGCAAAGCAGAAACCAGACCCAAGCCCCATCCCAAAGAGAGCAGAAAAGAAGGTCACCACCCCATCTGTGCTATAAAACGACTTCACCACCATTCAATAAGGGGAAAAAGTGCCAACTGCTTACCTGTCTCAAGGTCCATCTCCCTGTGCTTGCTGCCTTCCCGCAGGAGCTGCTCATGGCTGGCCAGGCTGGGAGCCACTCCCAGAGCCCGGTGTGTCACACATGTCCCCTGCTTGCCCACTGACACTGCTCCTCACCTGCTGGCTCGACTGGTTCCCAGTGGAGAAAGCAAAGAGCCCTGGCAGACATCACCCTCATGCCCCAGTCTGACCTCCCCTCCCTGCAGGGCTGGGCAATGCAGGCAGCTCTGCCCTCCTGCTGCAGGTAGGAGCCAGACCCAGCAGAGGTTGAGCTCGTGGCATCAGGAGCCCAAGGGGATAGGGATGCCCCAGGGACATGTGTGCCCAGCCCCAGGCACACAGGTGTGCAGCCCCAAGCACCATACCTGAGCAGTTCTGCCCTCCCAGCTGCCTCCTCCTGGCAGGGTCCCACTCAATCAAGACTTGGGGATGCCTGCAAGGGTAGGAGGACAGGGCAGCTCCAGTGCAGCACACTTAACATCTGTGTTTGGCCACCTTCTCAAAGCCTAAGCTGCAGAGCCATGTGGGAACTGCTGCCCACTCACAGGAAGGACCAGGAATGCAGCTGCTGTGGCTGCAGGTGGGAAGCAGCAAGCAAGGACATCAGCTAACAGCTCAGAAAGTGGGCACCCAGGGGGAAGCCCTGCAGTGGGACATGCACAGGGAAAGAGCTGAGCCCTAAGCATCCTTTTCTGGAGTGAGTTCCCCAGCACCAGGACCACAAGGTGATGACCAGGGCAGAGAGTCAGGGGAAGAGCTGGAGGGAGAGGGAGCCTGATTGCTGTAGTCCTGCATGCTGGTGGCCACTCAGAGCCTCATGCTGCCTGCCTGTCCCCAGCCTGACCCCAGACAGAGCCACGTCACACCAGGGCCACGCATGGCAGAGGTTTGGGGAAGGGCGGCTGGGGTAGCAAAGCAGCCACACTCCAGGAAGCAAAGCCCTGCAGGCGTGCGGGGCTGTGACATAACATCTCCAAACCTCTGCTGCTTCCTCAAAGTCTTTGCTTAACCTCAACAGAGGAAGAGCCTCTCCCCTCAGTGCCGCCTCCTGCCCTGCCCCACCAACACACGCTGGGCACTGGGAGCTCTGGGAGGCAGCACTGTAAGGGCTCTCCCTGTTGGGTCGTAGGGCTGTGGGTATACATGGGGCTAAGTTTGGTCCAGAGCATCTGCCCCATCCCTCAACCACTTCCTGAGCTGCTTTTGCTTTTAAGCCACAGTTTGGTTCATGGCAGTGGACAGCAGGCTCAGAATGCGCTGGAGAGCTCGTTCCATCATGCTGTATCTTATAATCAGTGAACGCCAGGGAGTGTGGAAGCAGCATCCCTTACCTGCATGTGGATGCCAAGATCCCTGGTCAGGCTACAGGGTTGTGCTGCTGCCTGTCCCAGAGCAGTGTCCTTGTCTCAGGGCTCTGGCACAGGGAGGGGACACGTCCCTGGCTGTGAGCTGTAGGGATGTGATGCTCTGCAGGCTCCCGCTGGCACTGTGCTCACAGCTGGCAGCAGCTCTCTCCCCAGCTGTTGGGAAAGCTCAATTACAACAAGAAGAGAGGTAATTAGTTGCTCACAAATCCTGCACACCCACCACTTCCAGCATGAGTCTGCACGACTTTCTAGCCAGGAGCTGTGCAAGCTGCACACTCCCTGACCCTAGCCTACAGGAAGCCAGAGAAGCTCCCGCACCCCAATGCTGAGCATCATCCTGCCCTTTACAAGCACCTGCTACTGGGGGGCTGCAGGAACCCCTCTGCCCACACCACTGCCAGCCCTGTCCTGAGCAACAGCAGCACATCCATCCAGCACAGCACGGCACCCCCACCGAGCAATGTGGTTTGCAGGGAGGCATGCCAGTCCTCCAGCATCCGTCCATCTCAGGGAGTTTGGGGGCCACGTGCTGCATCCTTCCTCTGCTGCACCCATCTTCAGGACACTGAACTGCTGTTGCCCCACATGTCACCTCCCAGCACTGTGCCCTTCCTCCCTGCGTCACACAGTGCGGTGCTGCAGGCACGCTCCCGAGTGACCCCAGGGACAGGGACATGTGCTGGCCCTGTAACCTCATGTATAAACTCTTCTTTCCTCCTCCACCTACCAGAATCTCTGTTTGAAAACAACCCAGCACAATGCGGAAGGGATGGACGAAGAGCGGGAAGGCTGTGTTTCTTCTCATCATCTGTAGAGGAGCATGAAAAAATCCTGCTCTGTCAGTCAGCTCGCTCCTGATCAGTGATTTTGTGACAGTGGCTCCGCAGGTGAGTCACCCAGCGGCAGAACCTGGGGAGATTACTGCAGGTGATGGTGCTGCTGATAGACCGGTGTTATATTACAATACAAATCATAATTCCTGTTTCACAACTCCTCTTGTGGGTTTTAGGGAGTGCTGGGGCGGTTCTGCCCCAGTGTGAGCGCGGCGCGGGGCAGAGCAGCACGGCACAGGGTGGTGGGAGCAGCGCGGGGCCGTGGGAGCGGCGTGGGGCAGAGGGTGCCCACGGCCTCCCCGTGCCTGGGATTTTCGCTGGGTTTCTGCTGGCAGAAGACCCCCCCCCGGGAGCTGGAGGAACATGGTGAGTTCTCTGCTCCCCAGCCCTCCCTTGAGCTCTCGCTGTTCCCCTCAACAGCTCAGCGCTGTTTGCTGCAGGGGTTTTTAGCAAGCAAAGCCGTGGCCATCTACCCCCTGGCTGGCATGCAGTCCCTATCCTAGACCAAAAGCTTTCTTTAGCTGAGCGGCAATGCATGGCCCAACAAAACCCCCCAGCAGCACTGGGATGGGGACCTCAGCCCCTGCACAGGATCGATGGCTGCATGCGCACGGGTTGGATTCCCTGCAGCCAAGGAGGCAGCAGGGCTTGGGACACAGCCCTTAGCGCAGGCTGAAGCTATTTTAAACTGGAGCATCCCACCTCCAGGAGCTGTGGCACAGGCTCCCAGCACAGCCCAGTGGATGCACTGTGCCCAGGCAGCAACTGAGGGCAGGCCAGCCACAGCTGCGTTTGTGTTTTTCCAGACAATAAGGCATGGGGGCACAATTAGTTACGGTAGCAATGGGTTCCCAAGGAAATCGTGTGCCTGCATTCCACACAGGAGCTAGCACAGCTCTGGCTTTGAATTTAACCAGTGAAGTTCTTGCTTTTAGGCTTAGAGAGCAAGCAGGTACCCTTGCAAAGACAGCTCCCATTTTAATATCCCTTTTCTTGGTGCAATAAGTCCACCCTTACCTGCCGTGGTGGTGTCCAGAAGTAGCAGCTGCAGAAATGCTCTCAGGGCTGAAGGGCATTAGGATGAAACGCAGCCATGCTGCTCCCACAGCACCCAGGAGCTCAGTTCCAAGGCACCAGCATCAGGCAGCAGCTGCGAGCAGGGCAGGAAACGAGTCTGCCTGAGCCCACCCAGCCGGCCCCTGACAAGCCTGGGGCTGCTCTGTGTGCAGCACAGTGGGACTCCTGCAGCCACAAGTCTCTCTTACGGGGAGCTCCTAGAGGAACAGAGTCCTGAAAGACCCAGGCAAGATCAGTGCTGCGCTCATCGCTTGCCCCAGCACTGTTTCCATGTCTCCTAGCAGCAGCACAGCCCTGCCTGCCCACCTGAGAGCACTTGTTCCCATGGGCTGGGCTGGTTTTCCCCAGCCCTGCAGAGCGCAGCAACTGTGCCTGTTGGAGCAGAGAGTTTCAGGCCCTGCTCTGGGTCAGCCAGAGGCCATCACCCACTGCGACATGCCTGAGTGGCACAGCCCAGCAGCCACACTCATTTCTTGGTGCGCAAGACATGGAACGCTTGGAAGCATTTGTTTCATAAAACCTGAAGTTTTAAGCCTCTGTTGAATTAGGATCATAATTGCATGGCATGTATACATTACTGGAACTGTATTGGTGATGTGCTGGGGAACACCACAGCTGCTTGCCCCAGTGATGATGCGCTGGGATAAGGCAGGTTCTCTCACTGTCTCTCCAGCAGCCTGCTGGGGCAGTTTGCCAGCTAACCCTGCTGAACACAGGGCAGGCTCTGTGCCCAGCCAGCAGTGGTTCTCATTTCTCTGGGCTGCCCTCCTGGGCAATGTCAGCTTGAGACTCGGTGTAGCAAGCACCATGGGGCGAGCTGGCCTTCCTGCTGCTGACCCCACCATGTACCAGCATCACTTTGCTGGCTCTTTCAGCTCACTGCCTGCTTTTCCCTTCCACTTTTCAGGACCCAGCCTCTGAGCGGTTGAACGGTGAAGGTAATGCCCACGGGGCCAGGGGTGCCATGGGGGCAGCCAGATGGAGCGGCACTGCCAGGCTCCCTGCTCTGTGTTGCAGAACCCGGCACGAGAGACAAAGCCTCAGAGGCACAGAGCTCCTGGAAGAGGATCGGCATCCCCATCCTGGTGATCGTGCTCGTCCTCGCCTGCCTGGCTGCAGTTGGGCTCCTGGGTGCGGCTCCTGCTCTGTTCCGTGCCTGCTCCTGCCCAGTGCTCGGCTGGGAGTGGCTGAGCCACCTCCATCCTGCCCCAAGCTGAGCTCCCTGCTTCTCCCCAGTCAAGGTTTACCTGGACCACCACTACTTCATCTGCAAGCAGCCTCTGAAGCTGGTGCCATTCGGGCAGGTTTGCAATGGAGAGGCGGACTGCCTGAACGGCGAGGACGAGGCCAGCTGTCCCCAGGAGGTCCCCGAGGGGCCACAGGCTGCTGGTGAGTGCCAGACACTCCACGGAGCCCCACCATGCAGCCAAGCCCCCGCCCAGCAAGGTGACCCAAGGCAAAGGTGACTCTGTCCCTCCCTGCAGCTCGCCTTTCCAAGGACAGATCGATCCTGCAGGTGCTAAACAGGAACACTGGAGCCTGGTCCTGCATCTGTTCTGACCACTTCAGCGCAGCGCTGGCAAAAGCAGCCTGTGAGGAAATGGGCTACAGCAGGTAGCTGCTTTCCCCACACCTCCCTCGCTTCAATCTATCACTCTCCCCTAAAAGCCTCTCTGAGTGGGCTGTTGTTTACTTTTGGAGCACTCAGAGTTCTGCACTAATGGATTCAGCCCATCCCCAGCACATAGAGCACTCGCTGTGCCCTCGGAGCCTGGCAGCTCCCCAGAGGAGCCCAGTGCTATGTCCCTGCTATGCCCAACTCCCAAACCTCTTTCTCTGTCCCCCCACCCTTTCTCCTATTTCTTGGAGGGTCCCATCCCCTTCCTAAGCTCTTGCTCCCTCTCCGTCTCAGCTCTCTATTGGAGCTATGGGTGAACATTTGGGACCTGCTCCTAAATCTTTAGAGCAGGATAACCCCTTAGTCTCAGTCCCAGCCCATATCCAACCCCTGGCCATGCCCTGACCCGTGCCCATCTCTTCCAGCACCCCAACATTCTATGCAGTGGATGCAGGTGCAGGACAGCCCCTGCCTCCCCGTGAGCTGGTGCTGAGCAGCGGCCGCCTGCAGCTGCCTGAGCCAGGCAGGTGAGTGCCACCCGTGGGAGCCACTCCTGGTGCTGAGCTGGAGCTGCTCCTGTGCAGGACACAGCCCTTCTCCTCCCTCTTCTAGGAAGTGCCTTTCTGGATCGGTTGTTTCACTCCTTTGTTCCAGTAAGTATTTGGACAAGTCTGTGCCTTACGGCACCCAAAGCTTCGTGCTGCCCCCAGCTCAGCCCCGTGCGCACAGCTCTGGCTCTGGGTGGGTTCAATTCTGCTGATGAATTACTCTGATTAAACAAACCCCACGGTGGGCTGGAGAGCAAAACACAGGGGTGACCAGATTTGGGCAAGCCTGGGGACAATGTGCAAACAGAGAACAAAAGGGGGTGTGCCAAGCGTGCCACCGAGGGGTGACACAGCGGCGTGGAGAGGGGTGAGGCCGTGGCAGCCTCCATCCCAGCGGTCCCTTCCTGAGCTCACATCCTGCTCTGCCCCGGTGAAGGCTGCGGGGAAAGCGTGCGGACGCCGCGTGTGCTGGGCGGGAGGCCGGCGGCCATCGAGGCCTGGCCATGGCAGGTCAGCCTGCGTTACCGCGGGGAGCACATCTGCGGCGGCAGCATCATCGACCCCCGCTGGATCCTCACCGCCGCGCACTGCTTCAGGTGAGCCGGGGCTGAAGCGTCCCCTAGCAGCACTGAGCAGCACGTGGGGAGCACCGTGCCTGCCGTGGATGGGAGGGATGGGAGCAGTAACGTGTCCGTGTGCAGGAACAACCCCATCATCCCCAGCTGGCGCGTGAAGGCCGGCTCCCACGTCCTCTCTGGCCCTGCCACCCTCACCGTGGAGAAGGTCTTCCTGGCCGAGCGGATGCCCACGTCTCCCAATAACAATGACATAGCGCTGGTGAAGCTGCAGGTCCCTCTGCGTATCTCAGGTGAGACGTGGTGCACCCCAGCACCTTGCACCCACGATCCCAGGCTCCCACGGCCGTGGCAGGTCAGCCTGCATTACAGCATAACGTGGTGCAGAGGGATGGAGGCACCGACTGCCTGGGCTGTGCTGGCTGCACGCCGTGCTTGGGGTGCTTCGCAGCACCTTCTGCACCTCACTGTGCCTTGCCCTGCAGACAGCATCAAGCCCATCTGCCTGCCCTACTTCGATGAGGAGCTGGAGCCGGGCACCCCGCTGTGGGTGATAGGCTGGGGCTACACACAGCAGAACGGTGAGCAGGACATCGCGGGCTCCATGCTGCTTGGGGGGCTGCTTGGGGACACCTCTGAGCGGCCACTTTTTGCTGTGTGCAGGCAAATTGTCAGAGACCCTGCAGCAGGCGGAGGTGAGGCTGAGCAGCGTGCAGAGGTGCAACCTGGAGGCGTACCACGGCAAGGTGACGCAGAAGATGCTGTGTGCAGGGCTGCCCGAGGGCGGGGTGGACACCTGCCAGGTGAGGGGCAGCATCGGGTGTCCCACCACACTGGGGTGCCCACTCTTTGAACTGGGCAGGTTGCTCTATAGAACAGCCCCACGGAGGGGACGCGTGCCCAGAGCGATGCTCACAGCGTTGATCTTTGGCAGGGGGACAGCGGAGGGCCGCTGCTGTATTCAAGCAGGCACTGGCAGGTGGTGGGCATCGTCAGCTGGGGCTTCGGCTGTGGCACCCCCAGCACACCCGGTGTCTACACCAGCGTCCGAATGTACCTCGACTGGATCTACGCCGTCCGCAGGGTCAGTGCTCTTTGCACCTTACTGTCACTGCTGTGCTGTGGCTTCTCTGTACCATTCCTCTCCTCTCTCCCCTTGCAGTCGGAGCTCTGAGACCTGCCAGGACACTGGTGCCGTGCTGGGGCCTGGACGAGGAGGCAAAGGGCAGCTCAGGCAGCGGCCGCAGCCTCAGAATGCACCCAGCTGGAGCTCCCTTCCAGAGAAAGATTAATTTATTGCCCTGTGCTGATCTTGCTGCGTCAGGATCTACGCTGCTCTTTGCTCATTACTGTTTTACAGAGATAAACGATGTTTGTGCTTCAGTGTATCGCCATTAAAATAAAGTATTTGTGTGTTTTTTTTCCACGCAGCCTCTGAAGGCTCTGTCTGTCCCTCCTGCTCACTGGTTGTCCTGCAACCAGCCCACTGTGCTGGGCTGGGCTGCTTTTCCATCCCTGCTCTTCTTAAAGCAAGCAGGGGCCAAATGAGCACCTGGAAGAGTCCAAGCCAGAGAGTTAACCCTGGCAAACCGAAACTTTATTTCGCTCAAAGGCAAAGCTGGGCAAACCCTAACGGTGCAAAAAGGTGTTTGAAGCCATCACGCAGCACGTGGTGCACACCTGGTGTTTATTGCAGGTATCTCCTACAGGTGTTGATACATGTGTGTACATATGTGTCCGTCACAGCTCACACCTCAGGCAGTGCCTTCATCCCACAGAGCCATGGAAGGCCCCAGGAGAAGGGGTCCTGCAGAACTCCCCCCACCCTGCACTGCATTCCGCACTGCATCTGTCGGCGTACAGACAGATACTGCATTTCAGACAGGGGTTATGTTGACTTCCTCCATCAAGCCAGAGGAATAATCCATGCATAGTACAGCATTGCATATCCTGGGGTAGGTGGAACTGTGTCCAGATACCGACTAAAAAAGGCTGACGGGTTATAGGACAGCTAAAAACAGTTCTGTAAAAAAAATCCCTTCCTGCCCTGGAGGCTTTCTGTGAGGGGGGCCGGGGGTCTCGGGGCGGCTCCAGCCCAAGCTCTCATGCACGGCAGGGGTAACGCGGGGCATTCGCAGTGTGCCTCTGCCTGGGAGCTCGGAGTGCTGTGCAAAGCCCCTAGGGGGCAGCCGAGGGCTGAACCCTGCGCTACAGATGGGGAAAGTGAAACTCAGCGCAGTCTCCCCAGTGCCAAAACCCTCTGCGGGGACGCTCTGGCTTCCTGCACACCCCTCACCCAGAGATCCTGAAGCGCTTTACAAAGAGTGAGCCAAAGAAGCCTCACAGCAATCCCTGTGAGGTAGAGCAGCACTGCTTTCCCCATTTTACAGATGGGGAAACTGAGGCACGGTGACATCCCAGGGTCACCCCGCCAGCCAGGGGCAGGACGGGCAGCGGGACGGGGCAGCCCTGGCCCTGCTCCTCTCATAGGATCCAACTGTGCTCCCCCCACAGCTTTCCTCAGGGGAAAGGGAAATGCACTCAGCCACTTTCCCATTGGAGTCTAATATAAAAATATCCACGTAATGAGCAAAGCCTTGGAAAGCCAGCCCTGAAAGCATCACTGCCTTCAGACGAGGGGATGTAAGTAGGGGCAGAACCAGCACAAACCCACGGCACGGCACGGCACGGCACCCCCGGCCCCTCTGGCCCCTGCGCAGGGCAGGGCAGGCAGTTGGCTCCATCCCATCCACCTGAAGCCCCCCAGTCCCCGCAGCAGCCAAAGTCTTTTCCGAGAAGCAGCGCAGGTTGCAGGCACGTGTGTAATAGAAACATGTCTCGAGCGTTGGCAGTTTGGAAAGGAAACAAAAGGGAGAGGCTCCCCGCCGGCCCCCACCTCGCCTCCCCAGGGCACGGGGCTGCTTCATGCCTTCTGAGGGGCTTTCTGCTCCGCCTTGGAGCCCGCCAGGCCGTTCTCTGTGTTGTCGTTGCCCGAGGAGCTGACGAGGCACTCCTTCCTGTGAGGAGCACACAGCTGACACCCGGCCCCACCGCCCCCCAGCAGCCCCCCCAGGGTGCCCACACTCACTTCCCGTCCTGGGTCTTCTTGATGATGAAGAGGACGACCCTCTTGACAAGCATGAAGAGGATGAGGAGGCCGATGAGTCCGCCCACAACACCCACAATGATGAGCGTCACGGTGTTGTCTGTCTTCTCCACTGCCGGGCAGGAGGGGTGGAGGGGGTTCAAGTCAGGACACCCCAAGGCACCGTGAGCCCAGTGCTCAGCACCCCCCAGCAGCACTTACTCTTATGGACCACGGTGAGGAAGATGGTGGCATTGTGCTGCGCCTTCTTCTCCTTGGGGTTGAGGACATGGCAGGTGTACCTGCCGGCGTCGCTGAGCTCCACGTCCTTCAGGACAATGGAGATGTTGTTGTCCTTCCCGGTGGTGGAACCGACGAACTCGACCCGCGGGTTGCGTCCCACGAGGACGGGCTCAGAGGTTTTGCTCTTGATCTTGCCGTGGTAGATCTGCAGAGGCACGGTGGGGTCGGTGGGATGCAGCATTCCTGCCCTGCCCAGCTCCTGCATGCGGGCACAGGATGGCAGCAGCACAGCCAAGCAAGGATGCGGTGGGTCAGTGCCACCACCCTGCAGCACTGCGATGGGCCACACAGATCTGCACTACTCTGGGGCAGGGAAAGGTCCCTTCATTCTGGGACCATCCTGGTTCTAAGGACAGAGCTGCTCCAAATCCTCCTCCTCACCAGCAGGAGAGCAGTGTGCACAGCAGGAGGGAAGCACATCTATACCGAAGCTGTAGCATTTCAGAGCAAGCACAGGAGGAGAAAATTAACTATATTTTGTTTAAAGCATAGCCAATTTGTGAATTATGAAAAACAATCAGATTTAGGTGGCAGAAACTCCAGGCCAGCTTTGTTCCAAAGCACAGGTGCTCCCTCTTTGCACCATTCCATTTTTCCCTGAGCTGGAGCTGCTCAGAGGGAGTGCATCCCACGGGAGGAGGAAAGCAGGCAGCGAGAAGCGCATCTGAAAGGAGCTGCCAGGAAAACACAGGCAAAGCCTGGAGTGCACCCACCAGCTCCGTCGAGTTGAAGTACCATGTGAAGATCAGGTCCTGGAAGCCAATGCAGGTGGTGAAGGTGCAGGGCAGCAGGACATCGGAGCCATTCAGAGCCATCACAGTGTTGGTTTTCCCCACTGACACCTCCAGGGCGAAGGCAATGGCGAGGATGTACAGACCTGGTGGGAGGAGAGCGTGAGGAGCAGTTGCTGTAAGGAGAAATACAGTGCCAGGGAGCAGCACAGGGCCCCTCCAGCTGCCCTCATCCCTTGGGCACGGCTACAGCGCTGCCTTCAACTACAGGACAGCATCAGGCCCTGCCTGGCTCCCCCAGAGACAGCGCAGATTCAAAGGGATCCATAATATCACCACGGATAAAGTATGCAAATGGCAGCCCTGATTTGCATGTCATCCACGGTGCCTTCAGCTAAGCTTTAAAGGAGAAGTGGAGGGGGTAAAAAAAAAAAAAAAAAAAAAAAAAAAAAGGCAAAAGCACTCTGAAAGCAAAGCAAAGCTCTCTGTTCTCAAAGAAAGAGCTAAAACTCCAATTAGCATCACTGCCCTGGATGGCTGCCAGCCTGCCCTGCCCTTCCCTTAACCCCAGCAGCGGAGCAGCGGGTCCTGGCAGAGCAGCACAGCGTGCCCTGCCTACAGCTGCTGCTGCCAATGGACGACCTTCAACACTGCTCTCCCTTGTGCTGGCAGGGAGAAGCACTTCGGGGAGCTGGAACGTCCCAGCTGCAGGAGGTGCCGGGGTCTCTCTCAAGGAATGGCCCCGGCACAGGGATGCCGTGCTCCGGGGCTCCATCCACGTGCCATGGCACAACCCAGCGCTCAGCAGGACCCACCCACACCTTCAGAGCTCCCCCTGAGCGCTGACAGCTGTGCCATGGGGTCACTGCTGGTCCCACAGCCGCTTCCCAGTGCTGCTGGCACCAAACTCAGAGGAGCTGCCCTCAGCCTCCACCCCCTGCAGCCGCCTCCACGCTGATTTATTCTCCCACGCATGCCATGCTAACAGCTCCCCAGGCACGTCACAGCCCGAGCCAAGCCCAGAGCCCTGCATCCTGGGCTTTGGGCCCTGCTGCAGTGCTGCATCGAAGCACTGCAGGGGAAGTTACTTAACTTTACAAAGAAACGTTTCTCCTTCTGCTGGAGGCTCCCTCGAACGCTGGGAGCTGTGCAGCCCTGGGTATGCCAAGGGTGTCCTGGGGAGCTGGGGCTGCGCCTCCAGCCTTGGGGATGCCTGGCTCTGCAGGATGCCTGAGGAGGCAGGTGCTGCAAGGGGACACTTACTTGCAGGAAAGACGATTCCTTCTGGCTTGTGACACTTCTAATCCTACCTGCCACGGTTATAACATCATAAACATAATCTGAATGACATGCACAGGGTAAATGGAGGCTGATCTTGTTCCTGTCGTCCTGTGATCTCAGGAAGGCAGAAGCGATAAGTTGCCACTAAATAAAGCCTGGAGGAAACGCACTGAGAGGCCACCGATGGGAGCTGTTGCTCCACTTGACACCGCGTGCCCTATGCAGCTGCACCTGGTGCCACCAGAGCCCCTCTTTGTGCCCCTCGGGGCCAACATCAGCCCCTGCCTGGGGCTGCTTTACGCCAGAAGCAGCACCACTGCAAGAGATGGATGGGGAGCAGCACCAGTGCCCCGCTGCCCAAGCAGAGGAGTGTGCACCTGGGATGCAAGAGAGCAGCAGTAGCTCAGAGCAAGGCTTTCCCCAGAGGGGCGGCTGGCAGCCCTCCGTTGCCAAGCTGGTCTGGGAACCACTGCCGTGATGGAAAGAGCTCAAAGGGTTCATCCAGAAAGGCACCGGGCGCCTCCAACCTCTGTGAAAAAGCCACTCCGGACAAACATTCCTTGTCCACAGAAATCAGCGTGACCTCCTGGCACGGGTCCCCCTCCACCTGGAGGCTACAAAGGAGGAGCTCTCGAGCTCCGGGCTGCGCTCAGCAGCAGGTCAGCCAGGTGCAGCCAGGAGCCCGCTGCCAGCCCTGGGAATACAGCATCCCTGGACTCACACACCCACACACGGATGCTCCCCCCAGCAGCGTGGGGGACAAACTGCCACCAC